ACACAGGAAGAGGAGATGGAACTCAGCCGAAAGATATCTATGCTTGATCAAACCAATGTTCCATCTAGCACAGAATCCTGTTTCCAGCAGTGGCCATTCAGATGCTCCAGGGAAGCCAACAAGCAAGGCCTGCTGACAGTCACTCTCATCTGCTGACTGTTCCCCCATCAATCTGATAATCAGAGGTACTCCACCTCTGAACACAAAAGATCTTATCTGGCTATCATGGCAATATAGACCTATTCACCATCAATCTGTCCAGTCTCCCTGTAAAACCCATCCAAGTTTTGGGTCATTGCCATATTTTGTGGCAGTGGGTTCCACAAGTCAATTACCCATTGTGTGAAGTAGTACTTCCTTTAGTCTGTATTGACTCTGCTACCAGTCAGTTTAATAGGTTGACCCTAGTTCTAGTATTATGGGAGAGGGAGAATAGTTTGTACACCAAGCGTAGTTTTGTATACCGCTGTCATGTTACCTGCAGATGCCTTTTGCTCAAAACTAAAAATCCCCAGGCTCTCCAACTCCACCAGCATTCTGGTTGCCCTGGTTCTGCACTTTTTCTAGGTCTCTGATATCCTTTCAAGAGGCCATGACCAGAACTGTATGCCATATTCCAAATGTGGCTGCACAGGGGCTGTGGCTATATTGCAAGTTTTATCCCCAGTTCCTTTCCTAATGATTCCTAGGGTAGACTTGCTAGTCCCACATCACCTCAGATCTGGCTACATAACCATCTATTTTGGCCAGTTGTGCCAGGGAGCTGATGGGCAGCCAACTGGGCAGCACCCAGACCATATCATACCTGGTACTCTATGACTCAGTCCCCATGATCATATTATATCTGGTATGCTAGCCTTATTTTCTGGTACTCATACCAGACATTACTTATTTTCTGGTACTCACTGACATATTCATTCCTGAAAATACAAATGACTTTCCTTGGAAACCATTGGGTTTCCTTGGTTTGTCCTGTACTGCCCTCTGGGTGCAGGGGGATGGCATACCTGGAGTCCATGGGGTCTTGAAAGACCAGCCCAGTCACCGCTTCCATACTTGGGTTTTTTTATGGACCAATCGACACACCTGAAGGCATGGTTAATATCACCCCCCTTTGAGTTACACCACATTGCATGGGAGAACAGCAGTGGCGCTGCAGTCTGTCACCTTCTCCTGGCTGGCTTGTGTTTTCCCTTCTGCTCCTGTGCCATCTCCCTCCAGCCAGCCTCCTTCCATTTCCCCAGCCCCAGTGCCACACCTGGTCCATGAGCTAAGCTCCATCTTATTCTTCTCTGTGCCCTGCTTTTTAGCCAGCCCCCACTCTTCAGAGCCCACCCTGCCTTAAGCCACCTGGGCCCAGAGAGCCATGGCTCTCCCATCGGGGCTTGCTTACTGCCTCCATGCCTTCTGAGCCTCCCTGGAGCAGGGCTGTTAAAGCTGCTCTGTTGCTGAGGCTATCCTGACTGCACCCTCCTAGCAGTCAATCTTCCTACAGTGAAACCCATTGGTGGAGGGCTGGTTAGAACGTGGTGATGATATCCATTCACACATACTATCATCCCTGTGAATTCTTCCATCTCATAAAAGGGAAGGATCGTGCATACTGTATGTACCCATGCTCTTGTTATATGTTATATCATAAGTCCGGGGAATGATATTGTGTGGGCCTACACTCCCCTTCACAAAGAGTATTTCAGCATTCATCAAACATATGAATTAGCCTTCATAGGCCCCCTGCCACATGGCAGGGGAAAATCCTCTAAAGGCGCGGCTTTTAAAAGCCGCGCCAACGTTGAGACGCCGCGGCGGGATCCCAGGGATCCCCTGGCCGCGGCGTCTTTTCTCCCCGGCACGATCAAACGCCGGGGAGAAAACACGGACCTGACCGGGAGCCGGCCGAACTGCGCATGTCGGAGAATGCGCAGTTCGGCTACGGGCCGGGGTTGTGCCGGCGCAAGGACGCGCCGGCGATCAAACGCCCGGCTTGCCGCGCAGCTTCCCCTTGAACCACCAAGGTAGGTGGTTGCAAGTTGAGGTGGATTTTCGCGGGGAAGGGCCAGTTCGGGGATGGAAGCACGACGCTTCCCAGATGTTGTGGTGTGATCGCGCCGGTTTGATCCGCCCCCGAACTGTCCCGCTCCCGGCCCAAATCGCCTAGTGTGAACGGGACCATAGTTAACCAAGTTACTACCCTCCTCAATTTTATTGGCAGTTCCAGGTGCGATGTCCCTGTGTCTGAGACACTCCAGAAACAAGTGACCACAGAGTATGTAGGCAGATAGGCAAATACTAAGCATCTTTCTGTTTACTCTCTACTGTCACAGTCTCCCTTGGAAGTGGAGGTGAGCACTCCTTAGGGAAAAGCCCTTCCGTTCTCTCTCCTTCTTCTCTCTTCCAAGCACACAAGATGGGGTGCAGGATCCCTCTCTGCATCCGCATCCCCCTGTTAGCTAGATAGCATAGGAACTGTTTCTATTTCTCTACCCTGCACTATCAAGCATGTGTTTCCAGAATAAAGTAATTATTATTTTGTTTCAACTTGAAACAGTGGCTCTGTGTAACTTTGCAAGCAGGTGGTCAGATCTGACACAAGCACTGCTGCGTTAAAGCCTTGTGCACTCTGCTAACTAACTAAAGAAGGATCTGGACCACCAGAACCAGTACCCTTCCAACAAATTTCTACACTGTTTTAGTGCTCTAGTCACTATTCACATGACTACTTACGTTTAGTAGCCATCAGCTTTTCAAAAGACTGAGACCACTGCAGCACTTCATCCAGACACATTCTTTGAGAAATAAGAGAAATAGTTATCATGACTTTAGAATGGCAGTTCAGCCTTTCCCCCCACCACTAATAATATGAGACTGAAGATCTGTGGCTCCCGTTATATGAGAATTGTTAAAATGACCACCCTATTTTATTTTTTTTAAAAAACCCTACTTAATACTAACAACACAACTGGTTGTTGTTCTGTAGTACCCATAACATCAATGTCTAGGCACTTCACAAAATCAAGCAAAAACAGGGGTGCTTCCAGAATTCTGCTCACCTGAATTTTTTTCAGCATTTTGGATGTCTGAATGATGTAATCTTGAAGCGGAACTAGTGCATTAAGAATCCTCCATTGTTCCATTTAAAAATAAAATCCAAAATTTCGTAGAGTGCTGTGCATTGGATCATTTACATATCCCCTTTCTGTATTTCTGATATCCGTATATAGATTGATAACACACTGCAAAAAAAGCAGTCTTGATGTATGCATGATGCGATCCAGATTCATTCCTGTGGAATTTACCAGTTCACAGGAAGGTATTTGCATATTGGTGAAACACTGCACATAAATGAACCTTGATGGAGTCATATGTATCATCACATCAGACTTTCTTCTTTGCAGTGTGTTATCACAATACATAGGCACCTTAAAAGTTGCTCGTGAACTGAAGGACCTGAGAACTGCTGCAAACTGTGCATGCTCCAATTTTTGGAATTAATTTGAGAATGTTTCCTAGTTATAAACCAGAATTAAGGAGGAGCACATAGTGGTTTTTTTAGAGCAATAATAGAAAGAAAATGTCCCTAAGAAAGAGATGTCACTGTTATAATTTCTGTACTACTTTGTCAAAGGAAACTAAATACTGTAAGTAAAGACTGGTGTAGTGGTTAAGTGCGTGGACTCTAATCTGGGAGAACCGGGTTTGATTCCCCACTCCTCCACTTGCACCTGCTGGATGACCTTGGGCACGCCATGTTCTTGAAAAAGGGAAGTTTCTGTCAGAGCTCTCTCAGCCCCACCTACCTCACAGGGTGTCTGTTGTGGGGAGGGGAGTTTGTAAGTCGCTCTGAGACACCTTTGGGTAGTGAAGGGCAGGGTATAAATCGAATAATCTTCTTCTTTCCTTCTCATTGGTTAGGGAAAGGGAAATTAAATGACTAGATGTTTCATATTAAAAGAAATGCAATTGATTAGCCATTACAGGTGCCGTTGTATCAAACTTCACACTGAAAGCTAAAGGGTGGTTTCCACTCTTGGCTTCACATCAGTTACCAAGTGCTCACCAAAGCCCTTTAATTATTACTCACTTTGGTATTATAATCCATTCTTGATTAAAAACAAAATTGGCCTTTGCATGCCAAGCCCAAATAAAAGCTTTAGAAACCTGTCTGGCCCAACAGCTGTTTGCAGGATTTTAGAGTCTAGTCTCTTTTCTAATCATCTCTATTATCGCCTTGGAGCATTGGTGGCTTATTCTACTAAAACCCCTGGGCCTGGACTGTATTTTTTGTTAGCAAATAATAAGATTATCTTGCTGACGGAAGCATTCCAGGTTGTTATCGTTTGGAGCCTTGAGCCTACATGTTTCCATAGGTGCTTTTGCATCACCTTCAGAACACCAATAATTAGGCTTGCCAACCTCCAGGTGGATCCTGGAGATCTCCTGGAATTGCAATTGATCTCCAGAGTACAGAGACCAGTCCCCTGGGGGGAAAATGGCTGCTTTTGAGGAAATTATACAGCTGTGTGGAATTACATGGCTGAGGACCCTCCCTTCCCCAAACCCTGCCTTCCCCAGGCACCACCCACCCAAATCTCTACACAATTCCCAACCCAAAGTTGACAAACCTACCAGCAACTCCATGTGGTGTCATGTTGCTCTAGTGATTTTATTGTGGTACACTATTTTATGTAATGCATCCTAAATGTTCCTGTGTTATAGTGGTGTAGTGGTTAGGGTACTGGACTAGGATTTGAGACACTCAGGTTCAAATCCCCCCTTTGCCATGGAAGTTTGCTGGGTGACCATGAGCCAATCACATTCAGCTAGTCATATGAATGCTGGCTCCAACCACAGGGCCATCTAGTCCAGCATTCTGTTTACACAGTCTGTTGTCAGGTAAAGAATTGCACATTAGCAAACCCTCTAATTCAGGACATCTCTCAAAGCCAAAGACATAGTCATCCCCTGATTTTTTTGATCCTATACATTTGTTAAAAAAAAATTCATACCAAAGAGAAGCATATAAGGAAAACAAAACAATACCTGGCCCTTTCGTAGCACTGAACTATTTTAATTCCTGTCACTGAGAGTAGCTGTTGGTTTTAGCCATTGTTAAGTTTATTTCATATTTCTTACCTTACCCCAGAACTTTGGAAGAGGAAAACCATTGTGTCTGCCCATGCAAACAGAGAGCAAGGGATTCCCCCCCTTCCCCATGGCTTTGGTCCAGAAAGAGCAATCCAGTGGTTTGATTTATAAAATACCTAGAAAGCATTCCTCTTTTCAAAATGAGCACCCACAAAATATGCACTGACTGACATTTGCTTGTATGAGAGCATGGACTGAGATGGATCACATATACTTGCCCACAACTGGTAATTGGTTGTATAAAGTACATCTTTAAAGTGCAAAATGGATCCAGACCTTTGCTGAATCTGCAAGCTGTATGCAAGAAAGCAGACTAGATTTCATACAGATGATTTCATGTTGGTTCTGCTTTGTACACATATCTTTCTAAGAGCTGTGACCACAAGCTAGCTAGTTAGTTGCACATGAGAATACCATTGAAAGCAAAGGATCTTACAAAGTCCCGATTTGTTTGTTCCATTGGTCTCAATAGGAATTTAGTCACAGCTAAAGCTGATAAGGAAAATCCAGTTCCTTGGAAGCTGATCAGAGTTTCCTCTCTATGAGAAACTTATTAAGAGCTGACACATTTCTCTGAAAGCTCATTCACTGCCGTTAAACTTTCATTGCAGTGCACTTCCACAAGAGCACATTGGTTGTACTTTAGGGCGCACTTTCAGAGACTGCACCTTGCATGAACTAAATGTGCACCCTAGATTGTTGCCTACAATGCTTTGCGATGCATAGAGGTTCCACAGCATGTGGATGTTCAAGGTTTTCCTGAAGACAGAAAATTTGAAAAGCATTGGTTTAAAAGACTTAGGACATAGAGTTTTTGCCCCAAATTGGTTTCTTAACTGTATCGGCTTACATACAGTATGATTTGCTGGTTGTTGCTCTCCCAGGGTTTTCTCCCACAGTTTCCCTCATATTTTTTTTCAGACCACTGGTCTGAAAATAAAACTGGCCAAAAGTGTAGAAAAAGAACACAGGAAAGCAATGAATTGCAAATGATACCCTTTGTAAGGAAGGAGGGAAATTGACAGTTAAGATGCTAAACTGCTGCAAAAATCCCACGCAGAAATAGCCAGAGTGACTAGTCCAGGGTTGCCACCAGTGAGCTTCCATGGCACAATATGGATTTGAAGTGGACCTCCCAAATCCTAGTCGGACATTTTAATCACTGCACCGCACTGGCTTGGAATAAAACTGACTGATGCCCGTAGTATAGATCTTCCTGAGACAGAATCTGGAGAAACTTGAAGACTTGTGTTGACTTGAGGACATTCATTCTTCACCCTTTCTTCTATAAATTATGCTAGTTTCAGAGTGCATTGTACTTACTTAGAAGTGATTCCATTTGCACCATCTCGGAATAAGTTGCAAAGCCAACAGATGCTGGGACTCATTATCCTAGGTGAAGAAAACAAACATGTTGAAAAACTTGATGTATTCTTTAGCATAATTGTTACTTTACTTCCTCCTCCTAGGGTTAGAGTACAGACAGAGGTAACATGAGTACATCAAGTGGGGAGGGGGTTCTTCCCAAAGATATGGTCTTCATGTAGCTGAAATATACCCTTTTCTCTCCTGGGTTGAATGTTGATTTTTTATTTTTTTAAAAAAAACCCAAGCTTGTTCTGCAGCTTTTTATAGCATTTCAGTTCAAATGCTGAAAAGCTGCCTGTGAACTGGAACAATTGATTAGTATCTGTGACATTGTCAATGTGCCCCACTCTCTGGAGCACTTTTGTAGAAATGTTCAGGTTTTTAAAATAATGTGAAAGATATATTGATAAACTGAAAGTAGAAAGCTACAACTGCTCATTTTGGATAGATGGAGTGTTGTAATCGTATTTTAGAAGGCAATAGCATTGTTACTGATATGGCCCTGACATTTCTGGAGCTGCAAATCTTGAATTTAATTTCTTTGTGGCAGTAAAATTGATGTCCTTTTAACTAATTCAGGGTTAATCCCAAATTGTTTATTTTTAATACATCATTAGCTCTAAATTATACTGTGTGGGACCTGGTATTGCCTGTTTGTTAACATTTTAGCTAGCAAAGTGCTAGACCACCATGGCCCCGGTCACACGGAGCATTTGCCACGCTAAAGATATGGATGATAGGTGGATTTTCCGGGCACGATCATACCGCAACATCTGGGAAGCGTAGTGCTCCCGTGGCTATCCTGTGGCATCCCGCCGAAGATGCAGACTAAAAAACTAGTACCTACGAGGTACTGGTTTCCGGACACCGCGGGGCAAGGGTGGGCATTTGATTGCGTTTCCGGTGGACTCCCATGGCATCCGGCGCCCACCAACGTTCCTTCGCCAACAAGGGGTTCCCCCCTCCCAAGTCTCTGCAGGATGTGCAAAAGCGCTGTGGTAAAACGAACACCCGTTTGCCATGGGAGCAGCACCTAGCGATTGCTGCTGTGATCGCGCCATGCCGCTTCTTTGTCGCGCTGCTGGATAGCCGTGTGATCGGCACCTCACCCCCTAACCACAGGACCTTGATGAGACGTGTGATCGGGCAGCCGCGCATTATTTTGCTCTGGGGCAAACAGCCACGCTTCCCCCCCGCTTTTTCCGGCCCATGTGACCGGGACCCATGTATTTGAGACCAACTTGTGTTCTCTGTAGAGACAAATGGGTAGTA